GTGTAATAAACGCACTATACTATGGCCACAGCAAAATGTCCTCTGTTTGCATTTTGGGTGAGGTGACAGGGCAAAAAGATGCTATGGGGCATCAACAAATGGGACAAAAGCAACAGGAGTTGAGTTTAGAGGTGTATCTGTGCTGGAATTACACTAAGGCAAAGAAAACAGGTGGTTTATATGAAACACATGATATATACTTGTGCAGACTGCTGATATGTTTCCCTTGGATATAATGTTTTTACTAAATATATCTTTCTCAAATAAAAAAAAAGTTTTGTCAGATGCTGACCAAAAAGTATTGAATTTTAAACACAGTACAATAATTTTCTTCATGATCATAGATTTTTATTCACAAATTTAAAGCAGTGTGGAACACATACCATTAGATTTTGCGCACTTGTAATTGTATACAACACAGACTTCACAATTTTCCTACAACCTTCCAAGTAGCATTGTGATATCTACAGGTAAAAGAAGAAAAACTCAAAGTTGAATATAAAATGTGCCCTTGGTTTCAAAAAGTGCTGAAGATGATTATTTATAAAGAACACATTTCATACAGGTAAAGGTGATCAAATAATGTTCAAACCAATGTACAGTTAAAATCCTCCTAAGTTATTTTTCCACAAAACTGATGAAACAAATGAAAGATATTTACAAATAACTGCTCAGACATTAACTGTCACAGAACGACGTGACAACATTTATTATGGAACAGACACAACCTTCACAGACAGAGTAACTTTCTGTTAAAGGCATCCAATGCAGTTTTTAGGGCTTGGAAACCCGATTTTTCAAGCCAATAGTCTAGCTATTTACTTACATACTAAGTTGAAACCAAACTTTCCCAATGTATATTGACCGTCATGTGGTAAAACTTCCCCAAATTCTGATGGAAAATGGTTACTGAAAGGGCCCTGGGCTGAATTTTAGGGAACCACCCAGAAAATAAAGGACTCATCTTGGGGCTTGTTTCTGCAGTTTTAAATACCCAAAGTATAAAAAAATGCTGATTTAAATGTGCTAATGTGAAGTAGTATGTGTCAATATCACAAAGATTGCCTTATTCAGAATATTTCCAGTTTTGCTCCCTGAAATTGCATTGGGTGCCTGTAACAAACCGAGAACTCTACTTTCTCTTCCCACCCCTGCTGGAAGTTCTGCCGCCCTTACTGGAGTCTCCTTCCCCTAGTGCCGCCAGTTTCTGCATCAGGACCTGGCCATTGATCTTCAGCTGTTCATCCACAGTAAGGGGGAGGGGGGGGGGGAAGTTTAAGTCTCTATATGTCGGTGAAGGTCTTAGACATCCAGGTAACAAGATATGCCAAAAAGGACAGTTAAGCAACTGGATAGGATTTTGGAAATGGTCAGATGTTTCAGGTAGCGATTCCACTAGCTTTCAAGTCTAGGTTTGACTTGAAGGTCCAGATCACACAAAGGACAAAATTTAGTCGGGAAGGGGGATAAGTAAAGCATGAAAATGAACTATTTAGACTACTTCCTCTTCCCACCCCTGCTGGAAGTTCTGCCGCCCTTACTGGAGTCTCCCTCCCCTAGTGCCGCCAGTTTCTGCATGAGGACCTGATCGTTGATCTTCAGCTGTTCATCCACAGACATGCGCAGCTCCTTCACCTGACTGGCCAGCTGGGACTGGATCAGGGTTCGCAGCTCTTTCTTACGCGGAGACTCAACTGTAGGGGGGGGGGTATACGAAGTTAAGTCTCAGATGTCACAGAAGCAGTGGATTGCAAAATCTGGGTAAGCCATGGAATACTTGTCTTGGAAATTACTTGTTTCAAAATAAAATGATTACACAGAAACAAAATGATTATGATTTTATCAACACAGATGAACTTTCAAGCTAAAATTTCAGTCTCATTTACCTTGTGAACTGTAATTTGTGGCATTAAAAATTGGACTCAAAATCTTTGACTGTCCGATTTCAGTCTTTTATGTAAACTGTGTTTAGATCAGAACAAGATATCTGGCGGGTACTTCAGTGCTTGTAAAAGTAGCAAGGATTTATGTTATGCAGCAGTTTTTGCCACAGCAGTTTTGCAACAGCGGTGTTAAAAATATTACACAATCTGGCCACAGAATTCTTATTTCAGACATAATTAGTTAATTGCTGCAATCTGGCAGAAAGCATTTGGCATAGAGAAAAAAATGAATAGAAAACTGAAAAGTGTGGCACTAAGCCTGGAATCTGGTGTTTTTGGCTTTAGTCAATTTGCAATGGCAGCTACCCCCACCTGTTGGAAGTGGATACCAGATTAAACCCCCTAAGCATGCCTGGACTCCAGATATCAATAACAATCACAAGACACACCACACCACTTATATACATGTAGATTATCACAGTGAAAAGCCCTTGTTGTACAAAAACAGCATTAAACTTAGGAGTTACAGTAGCATAGGACATCAACAGAAAATTAAGTGTGTTATCAACAGAGACCACAATCACACCACACCATGTACCACACCACAGATTCACTTCGCTACCTTCTGGTGTCTCCTCTGGGGGGTTTTCTGTCTCTGTTGGAGGAACTTCTACTGATGGACAGGAGAGGGGAGGCAAGAGGGGAGAAACTTCAGATCAACAGACTACAGGGAGTTTTAAAAGTAGGATACTAACAGGATAGTTAGACCATCAGATTCTAAAAGATGTACATGTGTAAGAAATACCTATCTGCACTATTGTGCATTAAACTACAATATGTACTTCAGATCAACAGGCTACAGTGAGTACAATGTAAAGTAGGATACTAACAGAATGGTTAGACCTTTTACAATGCTATAGATGTATAAGAAATTCCTATCTGCACACTAAACTACAATATGTACTTCAGATCAACAGACTACAGTGAGTAAAGTAGCTACAGGATGCTAACAGGAATATATTCTGCAGTGCTAAAGATATACATTGTCAAGAAATAACTACCTACACTATTGGTTTTATACATTATACTACAGTAACAGTATGTACAGTATAAACCTTTAGGAGATATAGGAGAAAGATTTATTGTAAAGGAAACTTCAAAACAGCTGTTAGCTGTGTGTGTGTGTGTGTGTGTGTGTGTGTGTGTGTGTGTCTCTGTGTATATGTCTGTGTGTGTGTGTGTGTGTGTCTGTCTGTGTGTGTGCGTCTGTCTGTCTCTGTCTGTCTGTCTGTGAATACCTGTCTGGTACCTGTTCGCACTCTTACTCTCCGGGAAAGACTTAAGAGTAAAGATGAGGACCAGGTGAGCCAAGTTACCTTCCTGTGGCTCCTCTTGTTGCTCTGCAGCCTCAGCATCAGGACCAGGCTGCTCCTCCTCCTTCTGTTCCTCCTCTACAATCACAAACACACGGATGGAGGATTTAATTACACAAACACATTCAGATAAATGGTGACAGGAGTCTAAATCCCTCCTGCTATGAATTGCAACATGATGTAACCCATCACTAGTTACCATGGTGATAGACACCTGGTTCTGGTCATTGACCTTACATGAATTTGTTTGGAGAAGAAGAAGAGGAAACAGAGCAAAAACAATATGCTTTCCTTCTGTGAAGGTAAACATAATGAAACCATCAAATCAGCACCAAGGACAGGGCAACATGTAATTACAATGGTAAACTCAGTACTGCACAGATGGGTGGAACAGGAACCAATAAAAATGCCTGACTTCAAATGGATGTAACAAAACCATCAAATCAGCACCAAGGACAGGGTGCCATCCACTCACAATGGTAATGCAAAAGCTAGTAAACCTTAGAGATGACACCCTCTAAAGGCTCTAAAATTCACTTGCTGTGGCCCAAAATCAGTACTGCACAGATCAAACTGTTGTCAAAATGCTCCTTGCTTCTCAATTCTTTATCAACATACCAGACATAACAGACAAACATGGCATACAATGTTGCCTGAATGGCGTTGATATTTACAAAATGTCAAATATTATATATACAAAATGTCAAATATCATGAATTTACAAAAACAGTACAGTAAGTGTACAACCCAGATATTTAGAAGCTTCATTATCTAGTGCCAGACTCTAGTATAGTTTGGTTATAGAGTCTGATTGACTGGTGAAGGAAAGAGTTCTGTAGTCTTTTTTGTTCTGGTGGGGGGATAGAGATAGTGTTTTTGTTCCTGAGTGTTACCACTGAATGTTTCTTCTAGTGTTTAATACAGTGGCTAAAATGTCCAAAACTGTTTTCCCACCTTCCATGGGCTGAGGAGTTTCTGGGATCCCGACATACTTCATGGTTAGATCCAGCTGGACCTACAGACAACACAAGTAAAACATGTCAAGTTTCTTTCTGTCACAGGGTCAATGAATGATCTATCTACAAACTGGGAATACAAGAGTAAAACAAGAGTACCCCGGCATCTTCTTTCCACCATCAGGACTTCTGCATGTAGCTAAAACTTTGCTGTAAACCAATGGCAATGATTATCCATGAGTGTTACAAACCAGGCTATTATTTACATTAGCACATGATAGAAAAAAACAACAACTTAAACTGACTTCCTCCTTGATTCTAACTCCAAAGAATGTCACTGTAAGATTCAGATTCAGCTTTATTTCTGAACACACATCAATATTAAGTTATGTCTATCCAAGACATTTCTTTCTTTAGTTTATCCCAACATCTTAGCAAATTCTACTCGATCCTAATCAAAAAAGTTCATCTCAAAACATATCCTTAAAGTACAAAATCAATAAAGCCCATTTACCTACTATTGAAGGACAAAGCCTTACCTTTGGTGTGAAGACGTATTTGTAGAGTTTGAAGTGTCTGAAGTAGGTGTTGACGACGTAATCTGTGATGTTCCTGACTTGGTCTGCGTCAAACAGGTCCACACTGAAGGGCGGTCTCTGGGGGAGGAATTTAGGAACATGAGAGATGACTGTAGCTGGTTTAAACACAAAACATGTCACCCCTCGGATGGGACATTAAATGGAGGTGCCGTGTTTGGTGAGAGCCACACCCACCGCACTTATCGAAAAGACCTTCCTGTTGGAGTGGTTCAAACCTTACAGTCAGAATGAATCTGGTCTCGGGTTTGACATCTTTGAAAAGGTGACAGTCACCTGTTATGTCAATCCTTCCACAAATGTAGTAAATCTTCATAAATATAAATACGTATAAAAACGTATCAAGCATGTCACAGTGACTCTAGACAAACAACGATTTGGGGGAATCCTCACCTTGGTGCCGTGACAGAGCAGGAGTTCTGTGAAGTAGTTGTAACACTCCTGAACATTTCCAAACGGCGTTTCTGTAAAAACAACAAAAAAACAAGGTTTAATTGGAACCTACTGTCAATGGTCAAAGTCACTGATAGAAATGTTGGTATGGAATGTGACTTCTATGCAGTGAATATCAACGTGATTTTAAGACGTACAATCAGAGTGAATACTTGTGTTTTCTTGAAAGAAGAGTAGGCAAGTAAAAGATAGGACAATATGTTCGGAGAATAGACCAGCATAACACCAAGAGAACCGAGATGGGTGGATAAAACTGGTTGACAGATCATCTGTGGTTTCTCAACTATTATATAATTAGACTAAAGACTACATAGTAATAAACACACTCATACAGACCTACGCAGACTCCGTGAGTTCTCTTGACAATGGAAAAGAATGCAGAAGTTTGTTCCTTGTTGAAGTTCTGCCGCCGTGCGTACAGAATCGTGTACACAAACAGGTCCATTAACACTCCATTCTTCAGGTTATCCCGGTGGTCAGACATACCAAAGATCTGCCCAAGGATACTGCAAGGAATGAAAAAAAAAGTCAAGTAAGAAATGCAAAATAACTGTCCCTGACCAATTCGAGTTAAAGTGTTATTTTGATACAATTAATATCACAGAACATCCTGGAGGGACATGTATGCAGCCACCATGCATCTGCCCTGATGCTTGCAGTTGATTGAATTGAATGTCACAGTGGCTTAATTGATCCAAGTTATACAAAATAAAACTTACACGTGGACACTTTCTGTCTTAGTGTTTTAAAACGGATTTCACTAAGCTGTCAGATCAGGGAGCTAGAAAAGGTTGATCAGCTCAAAAAATTTCTGTTCCTTTCAAGGGTCCACAGAAAACTAATTCTACAGTCTGCAGTTTTTCTAGGGTTGGTCGGGAAACAGGAAACACAACATTTTTTCCTAGGTCTGATATGTCTTACCTCCTCAGGTCATCGGCGGAGGTCGCCTGGTCGATGGCATCCATGTGATTGACAGACAGGTCCTCCCTGGGGGTCAACATGGGAACATTGGTGTGAGATACATTTATTCCCCCAACATGCAAACACTGGTGTGAGATTCAAGAATCAAGTTGTCAAAAGTAACAGTTTTAACCATTATAAAAGACAAAATTGCAATGAAACAAGGATAAACTGAGAAAGTTTAATGCTTACCAGACGACCACCCGTCCCTTGTGTCTCCGTGGCTGCAAGAAAAGAGCGGGAATTATGACAAAAATAGATAAATAACGTTAAATTTCCTCTTGTGTAACTTTTGTTATTTCTTCTTCTTTTTTTTTGCAGTTCTTGAATTTCTTTCAATTTATCACCATATCATTGACAAGATACTCCACAACTAGTAACTGAAAAATCTACAGATGATATAGTCGATCGTAAGATTAGAAAAACACAAACAATGTTAAACTGTAAACATAATTTGGAGGTAACGTTAACATATAGTGTAGGGGAGGGGGGCGATATCACAAACGACAACAACAATATGGAAGGAACGCAACAACAACAACAAAAGACAGGTAAGAATCGTTCTCTTGAAGCTTACCTGAATGATTTTAGTGCCAGGTGTGGATTCCGTAGCGGCAGGCATGTTTGCCAAAGCGACTTCGAAGAACGACATGAGACAACTTTGACAGCAAAAAGGCGGAAACTCGATATCTGTTGGAGCTAGGCTTCCCTTAGCAACTGGCCTAGCAACGGCCTGGACTGGTACATTATAGGACGGGGGAGTTACAACATTTTGTTAATATTGTAATATTATTCGTACATGACTTATTTTACTTTTTTATTGTATTGTCAGTAAGGAAACATGATTTAAAGTTTTAAACTGTAAAATAATTGTGATTTTGTTCTAAATGGGATATTTTAAAGGTTGATAATTATGTAATACAATGATATCGCCCAAGTTGCGTCTTGTTCCCAGGATTCAAAAAGCTAGGGACATCCAAACTCTAAACCTAACGTCTTATCTGGTGCAAAATATACTCATATGTTTATCACTGCTACTTGGCAGTATGAAATTAAATAAAAACTTACTTTGTGATGTTCATTTTCCGGTGTATAGCTACACATCCTGGGCACGAGAGTGAGATGACCGCGAGGTCATTCACCCCTGTCAAACCAAAACATACAAAGTCCACGTCGTGTGACCGAACGAGCATTAGTTGTACTCCATTTATATTCCTGCGTGGCGCTCACATAGTAGCTTCTACAACTTTCCCTGCGTGTCTAGTGCATTCTTAGAAAGACACAGAACAACTTTTCTGTCAGACTTAGAGACTTGAAGGTCAAATGGAGGACGCAGACGACAGTAAAGTTACCGGCGCCGCAGCCCTGGCGGCGGCTCTGAAGGCCCAGGGGGTTGAGTACGCGTTCGGGATCGTGGGGATCCCGGTAGTGGAGGTGGGATTCGCGCTGCAGAGGGCGGGGATACACTATGTGGGCATGAGGAACGAACAGTCGGCATGCTACGCCGCTCAGGCTATAGGTAAGACTGTGGGTGTGGGATAAGATCTCAAGATCCCTCTGAACCGTCAGGTAAGACTGTGGGCGTGTCTAACGTAAGGGTTGGGGCAAGATCAGTCTTTAAGTCCCGATCTTCTTTATCTTAGGGTTTGGGGCAAGATCTCAAGATCATCCTCTCTTGTCAAGTTGTCACTCGGCACATAATTTTACTGTCTGGGACCTTGATAACTTGAGATGGACACAGATCCACCTAATGCATTGTCTGGTAATATTACCTCAGTGTAACAGGCCAAGCTGTGCCCCTGGGAAGTATGCACCAGGGGTATGTTCTGACCAGGGGTAAAGGCTGGCCTGCTACACTGCAATGATGATGACCCCTAACCTAGATTCATAACGTTTCAAATTTATTTTTAAGTTTATCGAGGGACAACTGTGATTAATGTAAAAACTGTTCTTCTGACACTCCTTTTGTTCTCTGCCCCATTCTTCTGACACTTGTGTTGTTCTCTGTCCCAGGCTACCTGACCGGCAGGCCGGGAGTGTGCCTGGTTGTGTCCGGTCCGGGACTCTTGCACGTGATTGGTGGGATGGCCAACGCCATGGTGAACTGCTGGCCACTGCTGGTGATTGGTGGATCCTCCGACACCGACCAGGAGAGCATGGGCGCCTTCCAGGAGTACCCACAGGTCAGAGGACAACGGTTAAGGTCTGGGTAAAGGTCAGGGACAAAGGTCAAAGTCTGGGCAAGGTTACAGAATAAATTATGTAGCCTGCGACATGGACCAGGAGAACCCACAGGTTAGAGATTAGACAGGGACAAAGGTCAAGGTCAGCCAAGGTTACAGAGTAAATTGTGGACACGGACAGGAGAGCAATATTGGGTGCCTTCCAGGAGTATCCACAGGTCAGAGGTTAGACAGGGGCAAAGGTCAAGGTCAGCCAAGGTTACGGAATAAATTACATAGTATGTAGCCTGTGACATGGACCAGAAGAGCAAGGGGGCCTCCAGGAGTATCCACAGGTCAGAGGTTAGATGGGGAAAAAGGTCAAGGTCAGCCAATTACGGAATACAGTATGTGGCAAGTGGCAGAATGGACCCAAAGGTCAGGGTCTGGCAAGGTTATGAAATGCATTATGTAGCAAGTAGCAGGACAGAGTTGGAGGGGCTAGTCATCACATTATGAATGTGTGTGATCAGGTACTAGTATAAACAGAGCAGTTAAGTTTGTTAGGCTAACTCAGACCATGAGGTAAACATTTAATGCATTTGCTGAAAATTTTACCTGTTTAATTGTTGCTGCACCTGCAGGTAGAGAGCAGCCGACTCCACTGTAAGTATGCCGCGAGGGTTCCCGATGTGCGAGACATCCCGTTCTTTGTGGAGAAGGCTGTGCGCAACAGCATGTACGGGCGGCCAGGTACAAAATGTATATTATCTGTATTGCCGGTATAACTGTTTGTTTTTTTCATGCCCACCATCATGATAATGATCATTCTGGCATTAACTTCATTAACACCTGAATGAAGTGAGGAAGATTGTGTAAAGTGCCTTTCCAAAGGTTCCCAAGGTTGGTGACAAGGCAGGATTGGAACCCGGGACCTCTTGGTTCTGAGCCGAAAGCTCTGCTGTTACACCAAACAGCCCCACATAACTGCCCTTTACTATTAGCATATAAACACTGCAAGACCTTCTCACCTTCTCACCCTGATGCCTTTAGGCGTTAAGGCCTGTAAGTTGTCAGCCTAATACACCTAAACCTTTGCACATCTTAACTACCAGCATTGCTTAAAGCTATCTAGTGATGCTCCAACTGTACTTGGTGGTGAGTTCCACTCTACGATCATAGTTCTAGGGAAAACAAGCTTTACAACAACACCTCAATCCTTCATTGATAGGTGCATGCTACCTGGACATCCCAGGGCAGCTGGTCAACAAGGAGGCCGCGCAGTCGCAGCTGAGAACCGTGCCGTGCTGTCCACCCCCGCCGAAGGTGTTGGCAGATCCCGCTGCAGTGGTTCGGGCGACCTCAGTGCTGACAAGGGCACAACGACCTCTAGTGATTGTCGGGAAAGGTAACAGTTATTCCTATACCATCATGAAAGTTAGACTGACCCAGTGAGGCTTGTCACGTGGCTTCTTTGAAGTGTGATGTCAACACTGGGTCAGTCTACTGAGGAAGACCAGAGTGACTGGTTGAAAGCTCTAAGTGAGAGAATTTAACAAAAGTCTTAACTCTAATCAGTTATCCCTGTCTGTCAACCACAGGTTGTTTAACTGCTATATGTGATACTAAAATTGCTATATGATACCAAAACTGCTGCGTGATACCCCAGGTGCAGCGTTCTCCCGTGCGGAGGGAAGCGTTCGGCAGTTTGTGGAGAAGACGGGTCTGCCCTTCCTGCCCACACCCATGGGGAAGGGCGTGGTACCTGATGACCATCCGCTCTGTATGTCTGCTGCTAGGTAATGTAGTGCTGTAGTGTTGGTGCCTTGTAGTAGAAATAGTGGTAGTAATAGTAGATTCTGAAGTAGTAGTGGTAGTAGTAATTAGTAGTAGTAGTAGTAGACTAGCAGAAGGAGTGGTGGTAGAAGTAGTAGTAGTAATGCCGTAGTAGTTGTAGTAGTAGTTATTATTAATACATTGTAGTAGTAGTTATAGTAGTTGATAGGAATAGTAGTAGCAGTCCCCGACGACCATCCACTGCAGTAGATGCTAATTGATACAGGGGTTGATATACTGTACTTTTCTCTTCGTACCTGCATTTAGAATACACCAGACAAGTTTTACCTGCATGGATTGTACCACACAGATCATACTAAAACCATTGCCATTATCTCTATAAACTAATTCAATATGTCTTTGCCATCTCTACCTTGTAAGAAGACTCAGAGTGTGAAAGTGTAGTCTGGAACCCTGCCTCCCCTGCAGGTCCCGTGCCCTGCTGCAGGCAGATGTGATCCTGCTGCTGGGAGCCAGGCTAAACTGGATCCTGCACTTCGGCCTCCCTCCCCGCTTCAGCGCAACGGTCAAGACTATACAGGTGGGTCAGAGTGTCAAAAAGCTACTGGATAACAGTTACTTGAATAATTGGATAGATTTGGAAAATGGTTAGACATTTCAAGTAGCATCAACTACGTTTTGGCAGTGATTGGAAGTATAGGGTCAGGGTTAGGGTTATGGTTAGGGTTATGGTTAGGGTTGTATAGATGTATTGAATGAGATGTATTTATGTTTCATAGAAGAAAATCATGTTGTTTTTGCTCTGTTTCTTCCTCTTCTTCCTCTTCTTCTTCTTCTTCCATTCCAAGCATGGACCAGACGGCTGCCACCATGGTAACTGGTGCTGTAGCAGACACTTTGGATTTCTGATAATCATAACATTATGTAGCAAGTTGCAGGACAGAGATGGAAGGGGAGGTCACCTAGATAAATGTGTAAAAATAAAGTGAGAAGTACCGGTACATTGTAGCTTGATAGGCTAGACCATGTGAAGGTAAGCATTACTAGTGTGCAAAAAAGGAAATGTTACCTTTCTATTTGCTATCTTATCCTCAGGTTGATGTGTGTGCAGAGGAGATGGGTAACCCTCGGCCAGCTGAAGTGGCTTTAGTTGGGGACGTGGACTGTGTGGTGAAACAGCTGAACCAAGCAATGGATGAACACCACAGGTAAGGACTCCACAGATTAACATGTATCTGATAGAGACACTGTTGTATTCAGATTTAACTTTGCCATGATGTTAGATATGTGTTGGTGAATGGTTCTGGAGTAGCTTTCATTGATACGAAAAGTGAATGATATCAATATGTACAATGGGTGGGGAGTCACTTATCACAAGAAATTTGAGACTCAAGACAAATGCTCAAAGTTCTCAATCATCCTTTTCTCATCTCCCAGCAGATCCTATGGTAGTAAGGCAGTATCCAATTGGCCAGAGGAGTGTCTACTAGATGGCTGATAGTCCTCTGGCCAATTTAATACAGTCTTGCCACCGTAAGATCTGCTTGGAGATTAATTCTTTCTGTAAATTGTTGTCTTTAGAGGCTGGAGGTTTGCTGCTGAGAAGCCCTGGTGGGTGAACCTGAAACAGACGTCTGTCACCATGGTAACTGTTTGTTGTTGTTGTTGTTGCAGACGTCTGTCACCATGGTAACTGTTTGTTGTTGTTGTTGTTATTTACAGAGGCTGGAGGTTTGCTGCTGAGAAACCCTGGTGGGTGAACCTGAAACAGACGTCTGTCACCATGGTAACTGTTTGTTGTTGTTGTTATTTACAGAGGCTGGAGGTTTGCTGCTGAGAAGCCCTGGTGGGTGAACCTGAAACAGACGTCTGTCACCATGGTAACTGTTGTTGTTTATTGTTGTTGTTGTTGTTATTTACAGAGGCTGGAGGTTTGCTGCTGAGAAGCCCTGGTGGGTAAACCTGAAACAGAAGGCCGAGGTGAACAGGAAGGTCACACAGAAGATGGCCGACAACAGGACACTTCCCATGAACTACTACTCTGTCTTCCAGGTGTGTGGTTCAAGTTCAAGTTTGGCAGTCCAGGCTTGAAGTGACCCTGCCTAGGAACCAAAAGGTTGTGGGTTCGAAGCCTGCTGTTAAGGCTCACCCAACTTGCATGTTCTGGATAGGAAAGGGTTTTAGGAAGGAATACTACATTTGTGGTTAAAATTCAAGTCTGGTGGTCCAGTTTCGAAGTGACTCAAACTACGAACCAAAAGGTTGTGGGTTCGAATCTTGGTTGCTGTACCCTCACCCTACTTGCATGTTCTGAATGGGAAAGGGTTTCAGGAAAGAATGCTACATTACATTTTTTGGTTCACGCTCAAGCTTGGTGGTCCAGTGTTGAAGTGACTCAAACTTTGAACCAAAAGGTTGTGGGTTTGAATTTAGGTGTCCCTAGCATTTATAAATTTAAAAGGCTGACACACTAATGGTTCATTGTAGCTGACAAAAGACTGAGGAACATGTCCATGTGTATATGAAACATCCAAAGACTGTACAATTATAGCATTTTCAGTGATCTCCAAGCACATCTTTCTCACCCAGAACACTATCCAACCTAACAATCAATTTGATAATGTTTTACCAGTTGGTTATGACTTTGCCATTCAAACAACATCTTGGAGATCAAATTTCCAGTAGGATAGATTAAAACCTCACCGACGAAAGGTAGTGGATGCTACCCGAAACGTCTGACCATTTCCAAAATCACATCTAATTGCTTGAGTAACTGTTTTTTGGCGTAAACGAAAACCTATTTTTTTGATAAATTTTCCAGCACGTGATCGAGGCCATCCCCCAAGACGCCATCATCGTGAGCGAGGGCGCCAACACCATGGACATCGGGCGGACCATGCTGCCCAATCGGTTGCCACGACGACGGCTGGACGCCGGGACGTTCGGGACGATGGGCGTGGGACTCGGTTTCGCCATCGCGGCGGCTCTTTACGCGCGTGATCATCTTCCAGGAACAAAGGTTGTCTGTGTGGAGGGTGACAGTGCGTTTGGCTTCTCTGGGATGGAGGTGGAAACTGTGTGCAGGTGTTTTTTTTTTGTATATCTGTAACTAGGTATGCAATTAAATTTACTAGACTTAGTACTAATCTTAAGTTTGTAGAGTTTGTATAAAGCTACAGCAGTTTAATTTGTTGGTTATTTAGATTTTAAAAGATTATGCCAAACTAAGTCTAAGGGTCAGAGTCTGAGGGGAAAGTCTGTACCTTCCCAACCTTCTGTTTTTACCTTCAAGTTGTCCTGTAGCTGATTTTTTCTTGCTAAAAATGTTTGAGAACTAGGAAAATGAATGGAGATGACAATATCAACATGGATCGAAGCATCCTATGCTTTTAAACTTCTCCCTGCTGCCTTACTCTATAACCAATACAGGTTTGGTGCCAAACGGCCGCCTAAGCAGGCTGAAGGCTCATGCCCCTGTCCCTAGTGCTGAATCCATGGTGATTGTTAACCTTCTCCCTGCTGCCTTACCCTGTAGCCAATACAAATTTGGTGGCAAAAGGCTACTACAGCATGAAAAGGTTAACTCCAACTATGCCCCCCCCCCTCCCACAGGTACCAACTGCCAATCCTGTTCATCGTGGTGAATAACAACGGGATCTACCAAGGTTTGGACCAGGAAACATGGGGACACATGGAACAGGCAGGCACACAGCTTACACTGGTCAGCCCTCCTACATCTCTACTGCCCAACGCTCGATATGAACAGGTAAAAATCAAGTGCTTTTTTTTGTACATCTTGATAACTAAAGTGATAACTAGTCAAATGATATTCTGTGAAAAATTAATAGTTGAGAGAAAAGTGCTGAAGTCTTACATGTAAGGTTCATGTTGGTCAGGAGATGGCTACTTTTTGCTGGGGGCTAGCCTGAGTGTCAGCCTTTTTTGCTTTCATCTGCTCCCCATGGTCCACTACTAGCCAAAAGCTAAAAAGGCTGACTCTCAGGCTAGCTGCAGATGCCTTATCAAAACAGTAGTAAATTCTGGCAGCTAGGAACCGCATGAACTGTACCAAGTACTAGTAAATGGACTGATAGATATTAGGTTGATATATTCTAAACTATGCTGATTCTAGACTGTAATTTTATGTACTTGTTATATTGTTCAGGTCTAAATGTGTGTCTTGTTTATGTGCTTGTAATTGTTTTGTGTGTGGGCCACCAGCCCCCGATGCCTTTGGCCCAGAGTATTGTATTGTTTGCAATTTCAATAAATCAAATCTCTCAAATCAATATATAGTGGTATCTTAGCTTACAAAAGTGTGATGGTCGGGACTTTGCACATGTAACCATGGTAACAAGCCCCACCCCTTCCCTGCAGGTGCTGACTGCATTTGGCGGAAAAGGCTACTTTGTAGCGACCCACGAGGAGTTGCGAAGTGCCCTGAGGACTGCAACGTCGGACGATCGCGCCTCGCTGATCAATGTGATGATCGAACCGACGTCCACACGCAAACAGCAGGACTTCGACTGGCTAACACGATCCAGTCTCTGATTTTTGTAGACCGAAAACACAAAAAATTCAGCAGTTAACCTTCTCCCTGCTACCTAGTCAAATTATATTGTGAAAAATTTTGCTAGTTGAAACTAAGTCTCTGATTTTTTGTAGGCCAAAAAAAAAAGGAAAAATTCAGCAGTTAACCATCTACCTGCTGCCTACCTGTAATCAGTGCAAATTTGGTGCCAAAAGGCTGTCTTGGCAGGAAAATGGTTAAGATATCTCTAAGTCTAACCATGATATTTTCCTTGCCTCTGTATGATTGTGTATAATAGTAAGAAAATGTTAGTGTAAAAAATTAAACGTGTAATATTGTACCTAATTTATCTTTCACTGAGGCTACCAAGTCAATGACTGATGTATGACGTTAGATGTTATGAGCTTGCAAATTGAATGACAATTTATTAGGCAACATATGGACAGGACCATTTCGAATTCTAAGCAAATAGCTAGTTTCATTGTCAAATAATGGACTGATATAGAAATTGTTTTGCTTAGGGCAACTGTGCAAACACTCTTAAGAGATGCAAGTTAGACATAACGTTTTGTTCAATCAACTTTATTGTCAACTTCTATAATCATTCAAAACAGAGAAAATTGGGCTTGGAAAAGGTTTGAGTAAGTCGCACAGTTCTGTACATTGTATGGCTAAGACTGTAAAAGACTAGGAACAGAGAAGCACCCAGAAAAAATTATGGAGGAAAAAGTTGCCTGACAGAAAAGGCAGAAACAGTAAAAAAATTATGATCATCAAGGCAGCAGAATAAAACCTTCCTTCCACATCATTTCATTATAAGGCTATTGGTTCTCTGGCCTGCTTGCTAGATATACATGTAGTTTGTAATTCTACTTTCTGTTCAATTTTACTTCTAGAAAATAATTCTGTAACTGCCTTGCTCTATACGTGTGTAGTTTCTAATTCTACTTTCTGTTCTATTTTAAAAAAGAATTCTTTGATTGGCTTTCTCTATAGTTGGTAATTCTACTTTTTTTTCTATTTTAAAAAAGATTTCTGTGATTCCCAGTATAGTGATTTTCAGGAACAGGCTTCAGACTATTTACACATGTACATCACACATCATCACTGCTACCGGTAGTAAGTAACTTTTCTATCACATTTGGGGACCAGTTCTCAACAGCTCATCTGGAGAATTTTTTTTCTTTGAGCTCTTTGTAGTCACCAATTCAATTTTTTCAATTCAATTCTTTATTTCAGTAGAAAGACTTTGAAAGGTAAAGCCTGGGAAAAAATGTAGTGTTTCTGATTCAGTGCCATGATACGTGATTAGGGTCAATAAGTAAGGGTTTTGTTTATTTTTTTTTTCATGGGCTGAAGTGAACTGAATTGGCTGACAGGAACAGAGCTGTCTTCAGGACCAGTCCCTCCGTTCGATTGTGGGGAAGGAACAAATCTTTCACCTGATTTACTGAAAATTTGCTCCAAAAAAACCTCAAATATCAGATTAGAAATCTACTGGACCAGCGATCAAGTGAAAAAAAGGCCAGGCTCGATTAAAAAACTCCCGAAAATGCGAGAGATAGCGTTTCAAAGGGTTTGAAACTCAGATTAGAAATCTAATGGACCAGCGATCAAGTGAAAAAAAGGCCAGGGTTGGTTGAAAAACTGGAAACACTACATTTTTTTCCTACAGGCATAACTATCAGAGGAGAGGTAACTAACTCGTTATCACCAGTAGAAAGACTTGGACAGATAACTAACGGCCGCCCCTGCGGCAGAACTGAGCCACCCGCGACCTCCGCCCTGGGGGTCGTGACCCGACCTGGCGAGCGTGAACCCGTCGGACTTGACGGGACTGTCCTCCTCGGGAAGGTAGTCCGGCAGAGCAGCGTTCTCCTTGTTCGCATCGGCTGGGTGAGCGCCGAATGAGAGAAGCACCTCCTCTCCTGCGTCGTTCCTCACAACCTGCTGGGCAGACATGACGCCTGTCTGATTCACCATGGCAACTAGGGCCTGTAGGACAAACAAACAAATAAACACTTATAATATAAAATCATAGTCTGTTTTAACATCTAGCTGTACCATATCACCACCTGTTGGCCAACAGTTTCATAAAGTTACATGTACCTCTGACTTGTTGCTATGCACCTGTTTCCTTACCTCTTCCTTGCTTGTTGCTAGGCAACAGCTTCCTTACCTTACTTATTGCTAGGCAACAGTTTCCTTATAGTTTTCTTGTTGCTAGGCAACTTTCTATACCCTTGTCTTGTTGCTAGGCAACTGTTTCCTTAGCCTTGTCTTGTTGCTAGGCAATGGTTGCTAGGTAACAGTTGCTGGGTTCCTTACCTAAGCCTTGAGGTCCTGCCGTGCCCTGAGGATGCATCTCTGGTTCAGCAAGTTGCTAGGCAACTGATTCCTTACCCCTGTGTTGTTGCTAGGCAATAGTTGCTAGGTAACAGTTGCTGGGTTGCTTACCTCAGCCTTGAGATCCTGCCGTGCCCTCAGGATGCATCTCTGGTGCGGCATGTTGAAGGTGAAACTGATGACCCCTTTGACCTTGAGCAGCTGGCTCACGCACAGTTCGCGACGATGCTGGAGGAAAAAACAACAACAATGAGCTAAGTTATATAGTGGTAGTTTTACTGTTTTCCTATATATCTAAAGTGATTTCTTTTTTCTATGTATGCCACTAACTTGTAAACAGATAGCAGGGGTCCTTAGATTCTGAAACTGTGCATCTGTAGCCTGGTATCCAAACCTATTTTAGCTGAAGAATCTCTCTAAATAGCTTTGGACACCAGGTTGGTACATCTATATCTTAGTACTTTTGCCATTTCTATTTGGTACAAAAGTATAGCCTGGTTACCAAACCTATTATAACTCCCAATTCCTACATCCTATTTGCGGAGATGATGTAGGACTCGGCAGCTATAATAGGTTTAGTAACCAGGCTAACAAAAGTACTGGGGCACTAAAGAAGTATCTGTCTTCAACCCAAGTAAATACATTAGTGAGTACTTGAAATGAGACACATTATAATTGTATAGAAGTTTTGGTGGTCATCCTTAAACACTATAGTACTGACCTGATCAGTGAGACCCTTAATCTGCAGCGTGATGGTTTTGGATTTCTTGTTGGCAGCTCCGAGGAAGCAGACCTTCTTGCGGACGTTGGTGTTGTTGTTTGCCGAGCGTGTGGAGTTGTAGGTGTCCTTCAGGCCAGAGCCTGGAGTTCTAGACTTCTGCTGAGGGTTGTACAGCAGCTGGAAGATGGACTGGGCTGAAGCTTGGGCTGCTGTGTTCCTGGTATATGTACAAGAAGGGTTTGAGTTAGAATGGTGTAGTACCAGAGTCTGCGTACAGGGGGCAGTACTGTACAGCAGCTGGAACACGGACTGGGCCGAAGCTTGGGCTGCTGTGTTCTTGGTACATGTACAAACGGGAATATAGGGGCTTGGGTTAGAACCACATGCAGTACCAGTGCCTGTGTACAGGGGGCACTGTTGTACAGCAGCTGGAAGATGGACTGGGCTGATGCCTGGGCTGCCGTGTTCCTAATGCGTGTACAAGAAGGGCCCAGGTTAGGATTATGGTGGAGTGCCAATAATTTGCCATACATGTGCGCATATAGCAGGAAGGATATAGAATGGTGCAGTACTAGTACCAACATACAGGTGGCACTACTGCACAGCAGCTGGCACTGAAACTGAGTCACAGCATGGAATACGAGAGATCACTGTTTAGTTTACATCATACCCAGTATACATGCAAATCATTTTACCACAAATACAAATTATTGGTAGGCAAATAAGCTAACCGTCATCTGATTTATGCCTACCAACAACTGGTTGTGCATTAAAAACTTTGCTATTCTTTGCCAAGACACATGACCACACCTTAAGACACCTGTTCAGACACAGACAACATCTTAAGACCCATCTAAGTTCCCACCTGCTGCAGATGTGCTGCAGTGACTCCTTCATACCCAGCTGCTGGTGCATGATGGGACGGCACGAGGGCTTGTGGGCCAGCAGCTCCAAAACCTGTAGCAGAATCCAGCACCAAATTTGGAATGATTAGGGTTAGACAGCAGGGAGAAGGTTACGGTAATAATGATATTTCAGCACCAACTACAAAAATGGCTACATGTGTTTTTTGTCTGTCTTATTATTTTCTTAATTGTTTGAATTTTTCACAAAATGTAAGAGTTAGCGTGGATCCAGCCTTGTCAGCTTTAGTTCCAACTACTTTTGGTAGAGCAGATCTAATGGAGAGGCTGGACTACAGCTGCAGGCTATATCTATATAAGTATGCAAGAGTTGGTACATTTTTACTCGTTCCTCAATGTCAGTCGCTTACTAGTATTATTAGTATTTTGTATATCGTGTATAGTCCCTTGATAGAGCTGGCTGGAAGTATCTGACAGAGGAGAGCAAGGGGCCAGTACGTATACCTGGCCTGTGCATATAGGCGGGCATTTTTTTTCTGTAAAAATCCGAGCATACCTCGAGGCTGGCGCATACGACAGTTTCCTCGTGCTGCTGAACATCCAGGAACAGAACCAGGCCGGACAGCAGGCTGGGGTCCTGCGACAGGGAGAAGATGTAACTATATGTACTATAGAATACCATGTACACAGAATTCTGTATCGATCGAACCTGTCACAGGATGGCTAGGTCCAAGGGTGCTAAAGAAGAGTGACAGATGTGGACAGAAAACGCCCGAAAGCATAATCTGTACATGTACCTTGAGAATGTGAGAATCCCTCAGTGTATAATTGAGTATCGTTTACCTGGATGCTTTAACTTCATCAATGTAGTGGTTATTATTTAACGAAGTTGCTCAAATAACTCGTATATACAAGGCCAGATAGAGTCCACCCGTCAGCTTGTCCCTTTTGCGAGTAAGTTAGAAACCAGTAACAACATACCTGAGTGATGACATCGTGACCCTGTGGTTGCCTAGCAATATCGTGGAGTTGTCTCACCACCTGGAGTTTTCCCTCTGTGCTCGTCATCTTTGTAAACCTGGTCTGGCTGGAGAGAAAGAAACATTCACAAGGTGTAAAGGTAGGTAAAGGTAGTCCCAGGCCATACTCGCAGGGCTCAAAATACTGGGTGCATGTGCACCTTAGTGCACCCAAATTTGGAGCTGGGCACCCAATTTTTTTTCAGTAGGTGCACCAGTGCACTAAATATTTTTGTAGGTTTATACGTACGTAAAAATGTTAAAATCTATAGTAGTATACCACATATTCTTAACATCCGAGTGTCAGGAAAATAATAAAACAATTTGTTGTAGTACTTATCTTTAGTTCTCTAGTTATTCTGTTTCATATGGTGCACCCCAAAAAAATTTTTGCGCACCCAATTTTAGGTTGGGTGCACCAGTGCACCTATTCCCAAAAATTAATTTTGAACCCTGCATAGCCTTTTGAGGTAATATACTACTTAAGGGTTGTTGATCCAAATTAGTATACTATGTGTCTTGCAATTGGGCATCGTATTGGAAGGCAGAGCCCATCCCTCTTCTTCTACTGCCTGTTACTTTTTAGTACCTCCGTACCTCCCCAATCGAAGTCTGGTACACACATATAATTTTTTTACACCTGGGTGAGAAAAAGGTCATGATCATGCAAATTATTGCAAAGTGCAAATTATTTGTCCGTAGTGACCGACCGTCCACAAAGACCCGATTTTATCGGTCCCCTGGGTGGCCTTTTTAGCTGTACATCCTTGATCACAAAGATAATTTACTCACACATGAGCAACGTACTAGTATTTTATCAAGGATAGTATAATTTTAACCTTTGATTTTATAACTGGGAGGGGGGGTTGAACAAACACAACGACTTTCGTGAGGAAAGATCTCGCCTAAAACCCCTTACCTCCTTTCGTGACAAGTCTGTATGACGGATTTTGCAACCCCCAAAGATTTTTCGAGCTGCGAAACTTCCTCTCGGCGTTGGTAGCTGCCTTATTCCGCTGAAGATAAACTTCTAGCGTTCGTATTTGGCTCGTCAGGACGCTGCAAAATTTAAAGGCAATGAGTTGAAAATTTAAAGATGGCGCATGTATGACGTAACGCACTTTACCGCCTCTGATTGGTTAATTTGTATGACGTCATGAAAATGGACGAATCTGATTGGCTGCCGGGCTGGCCGCGCGGTGCATGATGGGAAAAACCGGTAGCGCTTGGTTTAAAACCATTTTTGAGGTCCGAGAAGTGGAGAAGAGAAAGTTGAAGTGGAAAATGTTTTGATTCAGGAAATCCTGTCGTGTCTGCTTTTGCGCAAGGTAAGGAATCTAGGTGCTGATGCAGCTCTCACACTGTTACCAAATTTCTTAGGCCAATAGATCGTGCAAAAACGCGATGCGAGTGAGTCGCAAAAATATGGCACTACCAACCGTTGTCGTGGAGGGGAGGGGGGCATTTAAATTTTAGTTTAAAAAAAAGTAAAGCCCTAAACGAGCTTCTACCGCTACTATGGACGTTGTTTATTGTTTTGCATGATTATGATAACATGAGATCTTATGCAATTTCTGCACTACTGCCCGCTGCCTGTACATAACGTTAGAATTTAACTTAAATTATTTTGTATGAAGGTTTAAACCTTCTTGCAAAGTTCTGTATGTAAAAATTATACCATCTTTGACTTCAAATTGAAAATATTACTTAACAAATAGAAGCAAAACAATTTGTCCCTGAATTATGGATTCCAGCTGTCCATGAAATTATCGTTGTTTTTACGATCAATCTATAACGTTATATTTGATCTCAATAGTAGGGGTATTGGACAAAAATTTTGTTTTGTTGTTAGCCATTAACAGTGTAGCTTTTTAGAAAGAGCTCATTAAACTGAACAAAATGGTTTTTGTTTGAAGTAAATCGGATGTTGTATGGCGGAGATATTTGTAATTTATGTCCCCATTTTGGGGTCGTTGTTGTTACGAAGTCGGTAAAATACGCCATTTTTATCATTTTTCATATGCTAATATCATAAAAACGAAACATCACACAGACTTCAATTTACTTGTACAATGCTCTATTGATATCATATTAAATGATGTGTAAAAACCAGAATCATTGCATCATTATTTACAGAAATACATAATCCTGAAATATTGAACAATATGCCCCTCAGGAGCACGCATGGAAACCATTGATTTTGGCAAAATGCCAAAAATTTCTAAGTCCCCCTAATTACATATGCAAAACCACAATAATTCCACTATACTTAAACATATCTGATCCAAATTCACATCTTAGGGGATTGGACACACACTGAATCCGAATTTACAATCAAAAGTGGCATATCTTATCTCCATATCGTGCTTTTATGACTTTATTGCCGACCGGCCTAATTAATTATGCGCGAATGCATTTTCTCCCATGTCTTTCATTGTATGTCAACATATTTCACATCTAGGGGGTTTTGGCACGTGCTGAATCCAAATTTGCTATCAAAATTGGCATATCTCATCATCTTATAGTACTATTATGAATTTACACACAGTTTTATGACGTTCCCTTTATTATATATGCATAGACAGATTTTCTTACGGAACATAGATGTTTTGTATACATTTATCCATCTTCTACTATATAAAACTTATCTTAAAACTTAACAATATTAAAGTCTATAGAGATCTATTGGTCCTAATCTTACTCATGTCCTTTTCTTCTTTTTCAGGTTCCTCTTGGACTTGACGGCACGCTGTGGTTGGGCGAAGTACCTGTTGTAATATTGCACGTACTGTTTATCTATCTCTTCACATAGCTGGCTTAGTGTTTCTTTAGAAACTATTTCAGGAGGGTTGTCCCAGCCTTTGTCCAACACATGACGTTGTTATTCCAGCCTTTGCACAGTCTTCTCCAACCTTGTTGGGGTCTTCCTTTTTCTTAGGTTTGTAGACTGAGCTTACAGGTGATGCAAGAAGGTTGTCCAGGTCTTCCTGTCCACACTCTTCAGCTTTCTTCCAAATTTTCTTCAACACATTCGAGCAGTACGTCGGCAGCTCCACAGCACTGTCGATGGCATGGACAAGCCCAGGAAGATGTTCGTTGACACTCATGCCCTGGTCACGTAGCCCACACTCCAGCAGAAGTAGTGTGGAGCATAGAACTGTTTCACAGTTTGCTGCAAAGAATAATAAAAAAATGAAACTATATTAATTTTAATTATAATTTATATATTTATATATACATACTTGTGTTTATATATGAATACCTGTGTAAGTACCTATAGCCATGTACTAACACTAAGTAACAGTTTGTAAACAATTAAAAAAAAAAATTAAAAAAAAAAATTAAAAAAAAAAATTAATGTAACTAAGTAAATTTTAGGTTTTCACAAAGAATTAAAAAAATATGAGCATAAAGAAATGTTGTAATAGCGTGGCAATAAAAAGAAAAACAGATATTTCCCGTTAAAAAGAAATGTTATGAAAAAAATGATCTTATCCTGACCTAAGGTAAGGACCCAATACACAAACGTCACGCCCCCCTCCCACCCCATACGACGACACAACAGACGCGACGCAAACGAGCCCCAAAACACGTATACAACAACAAAAATATACATATAGGAACAAGATAACGAACTAATGTATCTTCAAGAAAATAATAATGCTTCGAATAGCGGAAAAGTCACGATTTATCCGGCTGGAAGGCTCATTTTTGCCGACGATTCACAGCTAACAATACACTGACATGTGCTTCGTGTTCATATGTGACATATCGAAGCAAAAACGGACAAAAGGGCACACAAAAACACGTTAAAACTCCCAAAATACTTGAATAAATACCTTACCTGGTTTTTGGCCGGTCGTGATGAACTCTACGACGTCGGATGGCGTCAAATTTGCGGCGGAATGGCAGCGCTCCGGCACGTAGCTGCCCACGGCCGCCATTGTTGTTTACCCGGTTGAAGCCAAAATCGTCCGGAAAGTAACCCCATATTCCGCGCGTACAGCAGGATCGCACATATGCGAATCTTGCATCAAATTAAAGCTAATGTTCTGAATTTTCATATGATGGTTTCCTTTTAAAATTGCCCCGGGGGCAAGTTGTGGAGATATCGCACTTTGAAAGTTTCACATGCGGACAACTTTCGATCCTGACGTCGTACAGAAAAAAAGAAGGCATTTTTCGAAAGCTCGTATTCTTGGCTACAAATTAGTGGCTAGTTTTTTCTGGATTTTGCACACGGTACGCGCGGGCGGGCTCCGGCGATCAGCGCCTTCTTGAAATTTTCGGCACGGGGAGGGCGCGCACATGGCGCCGCCGGGAAAACTCGCGCGACCCGATCGGCGATTTCGCGCTTACCATTGAAGGTATCTTAATAAAACTTGGACAAAATAAGAGATAAAGAGTTCCTTCAACTACTGATACCAAATTTCAAGCATTTTTACTTTGTTATATACTCGTTTGAACGCTCTAAAATCGCCCCATTTTCGGTGTTTACCGGCCCCGTAACAGGTATTATATGGCGTCCAATACCCCTATCAATAGTGATAATTTTTCTTCCTCCTGCCCAGTTAGCAGAGTTGTTGACTGATGGACGTGGACCACAGCTTGTCATCACAACTCCTCATCCACATCCTCAACCACCTGCTTCCTTATGTCATGGTAAGAGTACTCTCTAAGACTGGACAGATTGAAGATTCAGCAGAATTGAAGAGAAACTGTTGCTAAAAAACTACAATGAAGAGTTGGAAGATTTTATAGTATAGTAGAATACTATAGAGATGTTTTGCCGGGGTATATGTAGGAACTCGAGGTTGTGCCACTCCTTGGTTGTCATACTATGAAGGATCTCAGGCGCAGGATTTTCCCCTGTACTGGTTGAAAGACAGTGTATCTCTAGGTCTAAATCACAGCCTTTGGGACTCATATCATAACATGATTAAAATCTAGCCTCCGTAGCAGGCTTATACTTATAGAACTGGGGGTTTGGTGGTCTTCGGCTGTTTTCTGATTAGCCCAGTTCTAAAACGGGGGTAATTCAACCAGGCTGGCTATGTTGTCTATATGCAGTCAGAAAATAGCACATAAAATTAATTAAAGACCATGAAGACCCCCAAACCCCCTGCAGTTTTTTTTGGCATGCTGTGGAGGCTAATTAAAAGAACGGTGCTTGTTAGATACCTGGTATCTCTTCTTTTCCAGGTCGCTCATCAGCACCTCTGTACCCTGTGGGTCAGCTGGTGGCCAAAGTCTGCCCAAAGGAAGGTCTCACACCGCAGTATTGTCCGGCTGATCGGCACCTACCTGTCACTCAAGCCGCAGCACCACAGACTCTACTTCCAGGTAAGGTCTCACATCGCAGTATGTTGTCTGTGTCTGCTCCCGTACTACGTTGCTAGATGGTTACTGTGTAGTTTTTCTTACAGAGTACAAAGTTGTTTACTTGGGCGAGACCTCCCCTGTGAAAAGTGTATATCAACAGCCAGTGGATTTTCACATCCAACGATTCGGTGACCGCCTGTCACCTTATAACAAGTGTTCAGGGTTCTCCCCAGAAATTCTTAGGGGAGAGGTGCTCCCTTAATCGGTTAATGTCGAAAAAAAATGCAGATTTTCATGATAATACTAAGAGAAAAGTCTAGATTTGCACATTTTGGGAGAGGTGCTAGGATTTGGGGAGAGGGGGAGCACCACTTGCAGTTGCTTCATTGCTTGTGAGAGCCCTCAGCTGGTGTTCGAATGATTTTTGACCCTTCTCTGTTGGCTTCTCTTGTTTCCCAGACTGTCCAGCCAGACCTGCGATGCTCGACCCCGTTTAGCGAGGATGGAGTGCGGAGAGCGCCGGTTTCCCTCGCCGACATCGCCATGTTGGAACAGGAGGAACCGCTGCCCGGCATCTACATCAGGTGGGACAAAAAAATTTACGGCTCTCCGTGGCAAATGTGCTTTTGGCACTCAGTTAGACGGACTAGCTGAAGAGGCTCGGTGAGTGTCACTCCACAGCACTGGGAGAAAAGTCATGTAAAGTGCCTTTCCCATTCGCACAACGTTGGGGCATGGTGAGTATCGAACCTGGGACCTATTGGAGAAGGAGCCCACCGCTCTAAGTTCTAACCATTGCACCGCCGATGCCCACATCAGGTGGGACACTCACTAACTAACCAACTCACACTGCCAGGCATCTACACCAGGTCCAGGTGGGACACTTACTGTACCACCATGTCACAGCAGTCTGCCACGTACAATTTTCATTTACCAATATCTTTTAAACAAACTTACTTGAAGTACAGGGCAAAGGCACCCAGAACTAACAGTTAGTTCAGGATATTAAATTTCATTTCTTCTCTCCACACCACAGCTGTGAGGTTGGCCAGTCAAGAAGAGAAGAAACAGCAGGGAGAGTCTCGAGTAGTTGTGTCAAGAGGAAGCAGACAGAAGATGTCTTAGACGCCAGTCCAGCAGAAACGTGCAATCCTACAAGTCAGGTGGGGAAGTTTGTAAAGATTTTCTCAAGGTCTGAAATATTAGCAGTAATAGAAAAGGACTCCAGGAAGACTAGTAGTAATGTAACTTATTGTAAGTACATGACTTTGTAACTGAATAAACAAACGAAAACTTCTACAGGCTCTTGTTCTTCCCCCGCACCATCAGGGAATTGAACAAACTTCTGTGAGCCTGGTGCGGCGGGGTCTCTTGCCCAGTTCAAATCTGAACTGACGAGGACTCTGCTGCATTGAGCCACCCATGTCTTGTATAATTATATGTAAATATTTCGCACTAATGCATTTGTCCCATCTTTAGTTGTTTTGTGTTCCCTTCTCAATTATCCTTTTTTTCTCTTTGTTTTTTATGTACCGGGTCACAATTGTTAGTAACAAAGCGCAATGGCTGCCAAAAATCCTACGTTGTAGGGCTGGGCAGGAAAAAAAACTTGATCAATCAATTTATTCCTGTTGAACCTACAGCAAGAGGGTCCAGTAGAGGACGCAGCACTCCAGAGAATCAGCGCTCTGGAGGCAGAACTGAACAAACTCCGGGCTCAGATCGCCCTCATGGCCACTATGCAGCCTCAGGCCCCCCCTGTACAGCAGGGTAACCCCCCAGGGACCCCCCTGCAGGCCGCAGCCCCCCTGCGCCACCCCCTCCCCCACCTCCACCCCCTCCTCCAGCCAGCCTGGCCACACCTGTGATGAACATCAAGGACATCATCAAAAAGGTGGGTCTGCTGATCACAACTGGTCTTCTAATTTGTGTGCTTCTATGTATGATATGTTACAAATTGTAAAAAAAAACAATCATATGCTTCCAATTTCTAGTACAAGGATGATTTTGTGTAAGATGTTTAACCACAATTCTGATGTGAATTTTTTTATTGGTTTCTCTGGTCTTGCTGGAATAAAATTTATATGCTTAATTTGGAATTCCCCCGCCTTCTTTTTTTTAGTTTAAGGCTTTGTAGAAAGTCTTACAAATCAGATAAATCCCAAAATTTTGGTAACTCTTGAGGTACCACAGGGCTCGAAATACTTTTTTCAGCCAGGTGGCGCATGTTGCCACCTGAGTCAAAAGCCAGATGGCGCCATCAGTATTCAAGTGGCAACACTTCCAAGTTATCATTTTCTTCAAATCTGCTACTTATATCTATTACGTTTTCTTCTAGTTAACTACTTAAGTTTTATGTTATAAAATAAAGTAATGTAAAGAACACAAAAGCTCTCAAACAACAATGTTTTAATAAAGGATGCCACCTTTACATGTCTTCATCACAGGGCTGCCGCCGTGGGAATGCCACGCCTCTACATGGCGGCACACTTATGCGGGTGGTGTTATGTGCGCCATGTTCTTTGTTTGCCCAAGGATAATGTTACTCTCATCTGCCAAATAAACATACCCCCCGGAATAAACATACCCCCCGGACAAATCTTCAACATTTAATAAAAAAATGGTATTAGCTCCCTTGATTTAAAAAAAAAATTGGGCATAGGTTCCCCGGATGACCCCTAACCGGGGGCCAACGGTGCTTCCACAACTTCAACAAGTGAAAAATACATGATACAAATTGTACATGTATCTATTACCTGGAACTTGGAGCAAGTATTCCTAAGGTGTTATGGACATTAATATATATCAAACTTTTTAACCCAATCATATTTCCCAAACAAAATCACATATTGACACAGCTGAACAAATAAAAATGTGATTATGTCTATAAACTCCTACTAAAAAATAATTTGAGAGACACTCAATAAAGAAAGTAAGAAAGAAAGCATGCTCTTAATATCTGATTCTCCCAATTGTAAAAGCCCCCACAGCTTCCAACCGCACATTCATATAAACAACATTATATTCTGACACTAGAAACCAATAAATTCGGAAAATTTCACGGTAATGTTTACAAATTAACCTTTTAAAAATACGAGTGAATTTTTATTTCTGTCGTTGCCGAAAAAAAAAAAATTTCATGCGTGTAATACTAGTACATGTACAGGGGTCGAAATAGATTTTGGGGCCAACTTGCACTGGTGCAGGTGAGAAAAAAAATACTTGCACCGGAAGAAAAATAGTTGCACCACCCAAAAATAATAGGTACACAACCAAAAGTACATGTAGTTGCAACACAGAAGTGATAGGAAACATCCGCTGGCAGCGACGTAGATAGTAACCTTCTGTTAATTACAAAAAAAAAATGAAAAACTTAATGGATTCTAGTTTTGTTCCCTTTCCAGTTAATAGGGTTGGTACCTGTTTGGCTCTTTCAGGTCCAGGTCCAGAGGATCAGGTCCAGGTCCGGACCTGTACCTGATTCTGGATACCAGAGTATCAGTACCGAATAATTTTTGCTAAATGATCATTGCTGAATGCTAATGTATAAGTAACCACTACAAAATTTTTATTTTATTTTTGTATAATTTTTTTAAATTTTATCCTATTTTTATTGTACAATTTTATTCTATTTAATCCGTTCTATACATCATCAAACTTCTCCTCTACTCCTAGGGCTACCAAAACCAAAACCTCAGAACCGAATATATTAATATATTAAACTGTCCAACCAATCACATCGCAGGATTTTCAATTCGCTCCCTCGGTTTTGGCCAAATTGCAGCTCTCGCGCGAACTCTCGCGAGCTTCCGCGTGGTTTTGCAACAATCAACATGGCGGCGGCTCGGCTCGGCGATTGCCGAAGTTTCTATGTTTTTCCTTGGTATTTTACACGATTCAAGCAAAGAAAACAAGTTTATCACAAGACCAAAAGAGTAATACAGCACTGGAAACCTAATGGTCCGTTTTGTTGGGCAGTAATTTCTCATTTCGAGTGAAAATTTACGTGCGCCACAGTGACCATGTGGTGTAAAAATCAGTAATTTTTCGGCTCGATACAAACCAAAAATGGCCCGTAAACTTGTTCTTTATGATTTCTAGATGACTTTCGGTAGCAAAAATATGGGAAAATATTGTTTCAAAATGAGAGAGACGGAGACTAAGGTAAACTTCTTTTATAGCTTGAAATAGCTTGTTATTTTGTAATCTTTTGGTGTATTTCAATAGAGATATTATGAGTCAAACTGTTATAGAGTTTGCGAATATACTACTGGGGATGGTACCCAGGCTACATTTGCCTGTACATGTAGGTCAATGACCAGACAAATGACCTGCAGACCAGACAAACAAGATTTATTTTCCTGCAGACTCTATAGGGGTAAAAATAGATAGGGCTGCCTGGGTCTGACCTGCCAGCTGGAGGTATAAACAAAAAACACTCTAGTCCCCAACTTTTTGGGTCAAAACAGACCATCCTATTATGAAGTAGGGGTGAAAAAGTGAAAATCCTTTTAAATCAAGCAAT